GCTTCTACTAAATACTGAGCAAAGGGTCTGAATACTTATGACCATGTGATATTTCAGTTTTTCTTTTTTAATAAATCTGCAAAAATGTCAAAAATTCTGTGTTTTTCTGTCAATATGGGGTGCTGTGTGTACATTAATGAGGGAAAAAATGAACTTAAATGATTTTAGCATATGGCTGCAATATAACAAAGAGTGAAAAATTTAATGGGGTCTGAATACTTTCCGTACCCACTGTATAGGCACACAATTTACCTTGTGTTTATTACACAATTCACAGTGTGTTTGATATTACACAACAATTCAGTGTTGACAGTAGACCAACACTGAACTGCTAAAATGATTTTTAGACAGTTATATCATAAAATATTTTATATAAGATATCCAGCTGTCTACTTATTACATAATACAAACTGCCATTTGAATTTCCTATCCTTAATAACATCTTAGGTCAACTAAATACTGTGCAAAGCAAATATGGTCTTAAGTGGCCAGTGTCACGGCTTTTATTGGTTATTTCAGACAAAATGCAACACTTCCTAAAATAGCCAGAGTATACTGGTTCCTAAAAATTTCTTACAGTAACATTTGAAGGTATAAGGAGGTAGCTGCCTATAACTGCAGGGTGTTATTATTTGGGAGGTTTGGATTCTTATCCTGAACAAATAACATGAAAGAGGGAGGTCTGCAGGGAACTCTGTTCACAGGTTCATGGTAGTTAATTACTGAGTGAATATCTCCATCATAAAACCTCAAGCAGTGTTTGAAGCTTTAATATGTTTCAAATATGCGACCTTAGTGTGAGAGGTTAAGTTTTATTCCTACGTCCAGGGGTTAGCATATCATGGCCTTCATACAACTGATTAATCAACAGTTTGTGCAGTGAGTGACACTGTAAATGAGTCCTACATCTTTATCTTCCACCGCCTCTCACCCAGTACCCCCCATTAGCTCTAATGCTAAAAGTCAGTGTATATCAATGTACCGTCAGATGTGTCTGTGTGAGCGCGGTGGGGGAAAGGTCGCTATTTAAAAGACATGCTAATGCAGAAAGATGAATAGTGTCAGACAGTTTTATGCACCGCAGGGGCCTCACTGCACACACACACACACACACACAAAACGCCAGGTCGGACAAGTGAGAGCGTGTGTGTGTTACAGTAAAGTGAAAGAGGAGTTCTCAGTCAAAACGTCCCAACCTCCCACTGCTGCCTTTTACACACACACACACACACACACTTCTTTAAAAAATTAGATGTCAATATCGGGCACTGCAGGCTCAGAGGTGTACACCAAGGACAGTGCTGTGTGTGTGTGTCTTTCTGTGGTTGTGTGGACACATTTACTTGGATACCATCACTGTGAGGCCATTTTGGCTTTCAAAGGGCGATTTGAGGGTTAACACTTGGTTTTAGGGTTAAAAGTTTTAAAGAACCAGGTTTAGGGTGGTTTAGACATTTAGTTGTTATGATGCAGTTTGGGGGAGGGGATGGGGGTGCATTATGTCAGCGAGTGTCCTCACAGCTATAGAAAGACAGGTGTGAGTGATCCTTAATTCCCATCTTTTATTCCTTCCTCCTTTGTTACCTTCTGTCTATCTTAATCAATTAGTCAGACAACTGTTAGGTATTTTTAGTCAGATAGATATCGGTTAGAAACTTGATGTATTAGAAATGTTTAGAGTAGACAGGATGTCTAGCTCAGGCTGTTAAATGCTAAGACATTCTCATGAGTTGCTGCAGGTTGCTTATGGTCAAGGATAACTAGATAGAAAGTTGATGACTGTTAGAAGACAGGATGTTTAATATTATTATTATGACGTGTGTTAGATATTTTTAGTCAGATAGATATTGGATAGATACTTTATGTATTAGAAATGTTAGTGGAGAGAGGATGTCTAGTTAGACTGTTAAATGCTTAGGCCTGCATATGAGTTGCTGCAGAGTACATCTGGTCAAGGACACCAGAAAGAAGAGTTGATGACTGTCAGCAGACAGGGTGGTTAATATTATTATTATGATGTGTAAAACTGTAGACTTAGCCATAATGTTCCTATGTTTGAGTCACGACATGTACTAGAGGTCGTGAGAATGTTTTTAGCTACACACCACTTAACCAACAGACATACACATTCACACGTTGATTTGCTTCATGTTTTGACTATTGCAAGAGCCAGCTGCAAAGCTGGTGAGACAGACGTCCCGGTTGACGTTTCTGTGTAGTATGGGGCTAGCCCAACCGAGGTTTTATAATGTATAGGCCAATTGTGGTTCAGGGTCTTCCATCTTACATCTGCCTGCATGCAGGATGGAGGTGCAAGATATCTGAGCGTGTAATGTTAATTTTACCTGTGATCTTTTGAATAAATCAGCACTGTTTTGAAGTTACTTGGACTGTCTCGTCTCTCAGAGTCAGTATGGTAAAAGTACGGGGTACAACACGTGTATACAGTAACTGTAGCCTTAGCCATAATATTTTCTTATGTTTAATGTCATGACATGTCACTAGAGGTCGTGTTAGAATGTTTTTAGCTACACACCACATAATCAACAGATAATCACACATTGATTTTTCCTCATGTTTTGACTACTGTTCTGGCCAGCTGCAAAGTTGGCCCTGGGAGACGCCACGGCTTGGCGTCTCTCCTGGTAGTATGGGATTAGCCCGAAGTGATATAATGTATAGGCCTGTTATTGTTCGGGGTCTTTCATCTTTCAGCTGCCTGTGTGCATGTTGGAGGTGCAAGATACCTGAGCGTGTAATGTTAATTTTTACCTGTGTTCATTGAATAAATCAGCACTGTTTTGAAGTTACTTGGACTGCTTCGTCTCTCAGAGTTAGCATGGTAAAAAGTACCGAATACAACACAACAGAAAAAATCAACTGGACTAGATTTCTAGGTTGCAGACGTTTCACCTCTCATCCAAGAGGCTTCATCAGTTCTGACTGACTGGTGCTGAGCCAGAGATATTTATCCCCCTCGGTGGTGTTTCAGTCCTTTGTTGGCCGACAATGTCCCTTAACGACTGAGACGTTATAGCCCAGTATCGGTGAGAGTCGTTACCTGTCTTTGAATCGTCCCCTGTCGACCGACGCCTATTGTCCTGGTGGGCATGCTTGGGCAGAGATCTCAAAACAGGATTGTAGATGAATGACAAGTTGTGTCTTAGTCCACCACCCCTATTTAGTGAGTTTTTTCAGTTTACTATGACCTGGATGACTGAGAATCTGCACAGACATAGTCAGACAACAGTCTATTCTCCGGGCTACGTGGTCGTGACACTGACGAGTGCCTGATGCTTAACGTGAATGTGTGGTGTACAAGCTGAGAGAAACTCGGCGTGTGCGCTTTTCTTCCTACTTTGGGTGCGTGAACTCGTCCACCAGCGACACTTTCTCCACCAGGTCTCCTCCGACGGAGCGCACCAGCTCGTAGAAGTCGTTCTGAGTGAAGCTCTCTCGCCCCTCCTCACTCCCTCTGCTCCCTGGCAGCCAGAAGGAGATGTCATTGTGCAGGGGTGGGTATTTACTGAGCAGCTGAGAAAACACACACAGGACAATGATTCACATGTGTCAGGCACATAAGAGTATCCAGTGCAAACACAACAACACATTAAAACAGTGCAAATCAAACACAGAGCACTTTTTACTGAAAACTGGAGAAATGTCCACTTCCTGACACTTTTCATCTTCATTAAACACTGAGGCCAAATTTCGTAAGATAAACTCCCTTCTCAGCCCCACAGAGGCAATACTGGGCATTAATTTGAACTACTCAGGAAAACAAGCTGTGTCTGTTTCTTCCTCGGTGGATCAATAAAGCCTGTCGCTGCCATCCACATGGATGTTTGGATCCACGTGCTCATGGGAGAGACCGGTCGCCACAGCCGAAGCGAATTTGGATGTCGGGACTACAGAGGTCAGTGAGCTGAAGGCTGTAACCTGGTAACATTAATGTTTTAAGCAAATAAATACTGATACATCTCAAATGACCTAGCGCTGTAGTTTATTTATCTCAGGAGGCTGGTTGGGAAGGTAGGTGGGCAGTTGGTTGGAATGCTGGACAATATAAGACACTGGTTCTGTTATGTAACTGTTTTATGGTTTAACTTTACAGCATTCTATGTTCCTTAAACCAATAGAAGAAATGAAGGTTAGACATATAATTCATAAATGTGACAATAAGACATCGACTGACAGTGATGGAATAAGCATGACTATTATTAAATCGGTAATTGATGGTTGTTCTAAACCACTAACTTATATCTTTAATTTGTCCTTTCAATCAGGAAAATTTCCTAATAGTATGAAAATAGCAAAGGTTATTCCGCTTTATAAATCTGGAGATAGACATAATATTACAAATTATAGACCTATTTCTTTATTATCGCAATTCTCTAAAATCTTAGAAAAACTTTTTGATACTGCTGAATATAAGTATTTGAACACCTGAGAAAATCAGTGTTAATATTTGGTACAGAAACCTTTGTTTCCAATTACAGAGGTCAAACGTTTCCTGTAGTTCTTGACCAGGTTTGCACACACTGCAACAGGGGTTTTGGCCCACTCCTCCACACAGATCTCCTCCTAAGTGGGAGAACTTGCAAAATCGCAGGGTGTTCAAATACTTCTGTTCCTCACTGTATTCCACATGATAACGGCACAGGGAAAGCACCAGCTGCTTTTATTATGAAATGTGTGGGGTGGTTAACTGTACAACAGGCTGATTAAAACGCGATCCGCAAGCGTATCACAGCTGAACATTTAGGTTCAGCTGTGAAAATTCGTTGTGGATTTGACGTGCCTTGTACAGCAGTGTATGGTGTCCGGGTGGAAACAGGCTTAGTGGGGAAATTCCATATCAGCTTATGGTGGCTGCAGTCCTGTTGAGATAAAACGGTGTTAATCTGCTGGGAATTAACCCCCAGGACCTGCGCACATCATCAATTAGGCTGATGTAGAGTCTCTCATAACGGACAAGTGTCACGTGTGGCATATAATTTTTTCATTATGGCTGATTGTGATATTATTCAGGTTTGGAAGAAATGCCCATCTGGCACACTAGGTGCTATTTTGTACCAGCTGTTAAACAAATGGCTTACCACACAGAGTTTAAACGAATATGGTAGTGAAACTAAGATTTTTGGCATGTTGTGAAAAAATGACTGAAAAGGGAATGTTCAAGACCTATGACGAGGCTCCCCCAGAAGAGGGAGCTATAAGATTATTTGTCAAACAAGCGGCCCATGCAGCGGCAACAGCACAGTGGCGCAATGATACAGCACCTTTGCTACAAAAAGACAAAACAGAAGCTAAAGTTAAACACTGTGAGACATTTCTAAAGGACTGTCTCTGTTTTTTGGCTGAATTTGAGAAAATACAGAAAAATACAGCCAATGGGAAGGAAGCACACGTCTCTGTCTCCCCTCCGGTGACACACAGACACACGGCTCACAGACACTGATAAGAGCTCACAGGAATTTCGAGGTCACACACACACACACACACACACACACACACACTGCCCCCCCACCCTCCACACGAGCCC